CTAAAAATAATTTAACAAGCATGCAATATGTCAGTTATAATACATGAAAATCCAGCACACAAAGAGAAATCGTATTCTGGGGTGAACTTTCAGCAGGCTCTGAAATTTTAATTGCACCCACAAGGTCTCAGAGCGCTTCTGCTTGCAGCATGAAAAATGAATGTACTCGGGGTTTGAGGCCTCAGTTAAGGCAGCCAACTAAAAATCTGGCCCTCTCCATTTTGGTCTGGTTAGGGAAATAATAAGAGACTAACATTCCAAATGGAGAATCATAATTCATAACTGTGGTCTTTTCCATATTTCTATACACAGCATAAATGAATAAACTGTTAGCATATGCCAGTTCTTACCACAAAGATATACTGTTTTAAAGTATAGGAAAGTAACTGCAGTGAAAGCCTACACATGGAACGTCTGTATAATTGCGAACTGTTGCTACCAGTTCAGAAAAGTCTAAGTAGCAACTGCTGGCAAATAAAGTATACTTTCTCCCTTTATGTTTGAATACACACACACAAAATATACTCTCTCTCTCTATATATATATACACACACACACACACAATATGGTACACTACAAATAAATACCAAAGCACCGGCTACACAAATCCACACTCCTACACAGCCACCAAATCTTACAGATCCTGAGCAATGACACACTGAACGAGACTCAATTTGAATGCTATGTTGCATACAAGCAGAGGAGGGCAGTCATTCCATCTATTCACGAGGATTAATACCAGCCATAATTCCTCACAATTTGCCCACTCAATGAAGAGGAGATTCAGTTCAATATTTTTCAGTTCCAGAAGCCTAACATGAAAGATTGGAGGGTCTAGCTCTTCCAACTGCACAAAAAAAAAAAAAAAAAAAAAAATCAGCTAATGCCAAATCTTCATTTATAAACAGTTTACTTATTTGACTTTCTGTAACAAAGACATTCAATCAGCTGCCGGGGTTGGAAACTAGCAGAGGGAAGACTATGTGTATAGAAAAGTAGTAACAAGTTTAGCCATTTAGGTACCTTGAGACCTCTTTTCCTGCAAAGGTCACCCACTGCTGTTGGAAGTGTCAAGTGGGGAAAGTATCTCCAGCCAACAAGTCAGGGCAACTACAGGAGCACCAGAAATCACACGAGCAATCAGGGAAATAACAGTGTAGCACTTTAAACCATAAGAGAGCCTAAAATTACTCACTATTACTATAAAATTAGGAATTGGCTTCCTATAAAGGATTGGCTCTGCGAATCCCTCAGTCCTATCTTTTATGAAGTCGGACTAGTATTTTATGTATTTTTCATTTGTTTTTCACGTTGCGCTACAGCCCCACAATGAAGTAAGGGATAGATCAGACATTTCACAGAAGTTCTGTTCTACTCTGCCAGAAGACTTCAGGAGATCCAACTTCAATGATTACATTTAGCTCATTTTGTCCACAGAACCGTGGCAATTGTGACAGCTAGAAAAAATGGAGAATACTGTTCTGCTCTTGAGGAAAGCTGAGATTCTGCTGTGATCACAAAACTCCAGGATCTAGGATAATCTACAAAATCTTATCTCCCAAAGCTTCATTTGAGACTGCATGGATAAAAGAAAAGTTTCATAAAGAGAAAAAGCTGCATCAACTCAAGGGTATAGATAATGGAAACAAAACAAAAAAAAAAACGTTTTTTTCTATGAGGATGAAGGATTTTCCAGAATATATTTACAGGAATATTATATAATTTACCAGTGTGTGCATACCACTGAAAATCATGAGTCCAAATTGTATCTGTGGGCAAGGCTGCAACATCTAACAAATACAAACCAGAATAAAAGGTTTCTACCAACTCTCTTAGAAGCATGATAACTTGAAGATGAATCATCTCATTTTTACTTTCAAACATGAAAGCCTTCTTAGCTCTTAAATATTAAGCAGCGCTCCAATTTCTATTAAATGTTTCTTTCCAGAGTAACTCTTTCCTCCTGTTTATTATTTATGTTTCAAAAGGTCTCTCAATCGTCCCTCTGTTGCATCATTTGTTTTCTTTATGTAACCAGCCCCTGTTCAATT